TAGGATTTCTATTTTGTTAAATGATCGTCTATTCCTATTTGAGGATCGTCATGAACGATCTGACCAAAAATAGAAAACTCTAAAAAGATAAAATTAATAAGCAAGGTACAAGCAAGCATATATTCTTACAGAATAAAAATGCATTAATAAAAATTACAAATAAATTTATTCTATCAAAACTTGAGCCTTATAAGTTGCAATATAATATTGAAATGTTAGTAAATATAGAAACAAAAATATATTATAAATACATGTAGATAACAGAAAGTGAGCCACAATATTTATTATTATTAAAAGCATAAACTCATAAGCTTAAGTTGTAACAATCCCTCCCTTTTTTATGATGATAAATATTACAGGTTGGATTTACAAAAAGGAAAAATATTTTCTCCTAATATCCCCCTTACTAGAATAAAAATTTAAAAATAGGGGAAATCAATTTTTGTTATTTTTATTTTTTTTTGAAAAAAAGGTATCAAAAAAAGATATAAATACAGTAGTACGTTCCCTTTGACATTATCAAAAAGCGAAGGGTCACAAATTAACAAATCAAACCCTGATTAAAAAGTCTTTAAAATGAGAGAGTTACATCTTGATTTTACTCAAAAACTTATTAAAGAATGTATTAACAATGCATAACTCAGAAAAGGTAAGAAATTTAAAAATTATTACTCCAAGCTTAAGTTCTTTTAAAAGCTAAAAAAAAATCAATTAAATATTTATATCAAGGAATAAAATAGAAAAAGAAATACTAATTTTTTTAAAACTCCTTTCATAAAATATATCTAATAGAAAATTAATGCAAAAAAATTGGTGAATAAAAAATCATGATTTTCAAGCTCATGTACCAAAAATATCAAGGATTTTCTTAAGCTTTAAGTAGTATAAGAAAAGTAAGCATACTTTTTGTGGGATCATTTTATGTCTCTTGTCAGTTATTTGGCGCACTTTACGTATCTTTTAATATTTGATACACTTTGTGTATCTTTCTCAATTTGGCATCATTGACCATTTTTTTTTCAATCAAATATGCTTCCTTTCTGATATTTTAAAAACTAAAGCAAATCCATTTTATTGAAAAAACAAACTACTTGAATAAAAAAATTATGAGGTTCATTCAACAACTTGCAAAAGATTTTTATGTGATAGATAAAATGTAGGAAGACGAAAAAGTCCAGTTTCAAAATCCAATTTAAAATATAATAAAGATTTTGAATTAAAAGTAAAATAACCTCTTTAGGAAATAGAGATAGAGAGTCAAAATCATGAATTTTCTTTCTTTGACTATTTTTAGAAAAATTAATCATAACTTACATAAAAATTCAAGAAAAATAAGATGTAGATTTTTCATTTAAAAAAATGAACTTTAAAAAAGATTTGATTTAAAAAAAAAGATGATGATAAGTGTGTATTGATCAAAGAAAACATCATAAAAAGAGTAAGTAAAGACAAAATAAAAAATTTAACAAAAGAAAAAAAAAAAGAAAAGTTAAAGGAATGAAAAAGAATAAATTCAAAGAAAAATATAAAAAACATATAGACTAACAAAAATATACATACATAGAAAAATAAACACACAAATAATGGTTTAAACATTATCTTGCTCTTAATCTGATGATTCAAAAGTTAAGTCTGTCCAGGAGAATTTTGCTTTTTATTATTTGTCATTTTTATAATTTGCCTAGTTTTATCCTTTTCTTTTACAGGAAGAGTTTTCAAATTAGGACACTAATTTTTCATATATCTAGGTTTCCTATATCTAAAGTAAATAATGTCATAAGAAATTTTAATATTCTTATCATTTTTACCTTTATTCCACTTTTATTGATGCTTATATTTTAGTGAGATTTCTAATTTGTTTGATAAGTCATCGTTTTCGTCACTAACTAAGTCACTTTTCTCTGAGTCTTCAGTATTTAGTACTATCATTTCATATATATCCAAAAGTCTTTAGCCCAAGCATTGCTCCTAGGTAATGAATGAGCCAATCAAATTATCAATATAATATTCATTCAAATTTTTTGATTCACAAATAACAACCACTTTGGCATCAAACTTATCAAGTAGACAACATATAATTTTATTGACTTTTTTAAATTTTAAAAATTTTTTACCTAAAGCATGTAATGATATCACAATTTGAATAAATCTAGTATACATATTTAAGATCATCTTGTAAGATATTTGCAAAATAGTTCAAATATATATGGATTGTTTGATTTTACTAGTGCCTTCGTATATAGTGCATAATTTATTCCAAATTTCATTGTCAGTAAAGCAAGTTAATACAAATATAAATTCTTCATAATTTAAAGCACAAAAAAATTAATTTAATGATTTAGCATTTAATTTAGCATTAATTTGTTCTTTCATATTCCATTGATTAAAAGAAATATCAGTTTTAATTTCATCTATAATACATGACTGTATAGAATAACCAGTTAAAATTATTTATCATATTCGATAATCAATTGATTGCAAGAAAGTAGACAAGCAAATATTTCAAAAATAAAAAAATAATACTTTCAAATAAAGGTGGTCGGGTGATTGAATAACCTTCCATAATATTATAATTATAAAATTAGCCATGAATCAAAATTTAAAAGTTTTTAAAAACTAGATTTTATGAATCCCGCTCTGATACCATTTGAAAGTTCGTTAGGAATGTTGAGTCCTTATGAACTAGTTCCAAGGCTAATCAAGAGGGGGGTGGGTGAATTGGATATTTAAAAATTTTTTAAGTAAAAGAACAATCACAACCAAAACAAGATTCACTACTAAAATCAAAGAGCAGAAATTAAACGTTGAAGCAATAATAAGAAAGAAAACATCAAATTTTATAGTGTTTTGGTCAAATCTTGACCTATATCCACTCCCCGGATGCACCCTCCAAGTATTGCACTAAACTCGGTGTCTCTCCTTTAGCCCCCACAGCAAAGCAGAAAAGCTCTTATAAAATCACTTTCACCTTCCCTGGTGCGGTGGAGTAGCAGGGTCCACTAACACCAAAGTGATATTCTTCTTCCCAAAACTTCCCTCAAGATGAATCTTGAATCCGATGGTACTAAGGTGCAAGCTTGTCGGAGCAACCGTGTGGAACCCCCTCCACACTCTTGAAACCCCTTCAAGGATCTTCTCCCTCTCTCAAACTCTACCATTTCCTCTCTCCCTTTTAAGTTCTCTCTTCAAATTTCTTCCAGAAGAAAGAAGCTTCAATGGCTGTCAAAGACACTTTCAAAGTCTTTGACAAAGTTTAAATAGAAGAGCTCCAAATTAGCTCTTAATTGCAACAAATTGAGATTATCGTCCAGGATGATATAAATTTTATATCGACCTATACAATTAGTACAAATTAAGCTCAATCAGTCAGGACAATTTGGAATGATCAAAAGGTTTTTGTTCATATCATCCAGGCCGATAGAATATCGTCTTATACGATTAATTTAAATTCACACATATCTTCTATAATATTGCCCTGAATAGAAGCTGACCGATGTTTGATAGTTCAGGAACAACTATGGTTTTTGAACTGATCGTCCCGGCCAATCTTGTGATCGTCAATGATGATATGATCGAGCAATCAAACCTTAATTGCTTTTCTTAATTACTAGATTAATTTAGGCATAATTGTATTACATCGTCAAGGACGATGTCGTGACGATGTTCAATAATAAATAATACCTAAATTGTTCTGGCGGTATATTTTTTATGATTTAAGCCTATCATCTCGATCGATATTAAAATCGTATAGGATAATGCGTTTAATGACAACTGCCTTAACCAGGATGCCCTAATTATGGTTTCTATTTTTTTTAACTGATAGTCCAGGTCAATTTGAGGATCATCCCGGACGATGTGATCAAAAATAAAAAATTCTAAAAGACATAATTAAGGAGCAAGGTTACAAGCAAGCATACATCCTTACAGAATAAAAATATATTAATGAAAATTACAAATAAACTTGTTTTGCTAAAACTTGAGTCTTGTAAGGTGCAATGTAATCCTGAAATGTTAGTAAACACAAAAACAAAAATAAATTACAAATACAAGTAGATAACAGAAAATGAGCCACAATATTTATTATTATCAAAAGCATAAATTCATAGGCTCGAGTTGCAACAGTTGGAGGGACATTAGTCGACAGTTGACAGTGGTTGGAGGGACCGTAGTCAATGGGCGATGGTAGTCGGAGAGACTGTTGTTAGTGGTCGGAGGTATCATAGTCAGTTAGTGATAGAGGTTGGCAAATGGTAGTCGGTGGAAGACAACGGCTAGAGGAAATATAGTGGGCAGACAATGGTAGCGAGGGGACTTTAATCGACGAGCAACGGTGATCTAAGGGATCAAAGTCGGCGATCAATGATAATTAGAGGGACCATAGTCGGCGGCAACGGTGATCGGAGGGAATATATAATTCTAACAGAGACAGGACCCATGGTTTTTTCCCTTTCAGAGTTTTCCACATAAAATATTTGTGTCTTTTATGACTCTTGCATCCATATCTCTTATCTGTTTGTGTATTGAATCTTTGCATAAAACTAGAATGCTAAACAACACTCTATCTCTCTACCACTGTGAATGTTCTGACATGCAACAATTACTATCACTAAAATACTAATGCCAATGATATTAAGCAGAATACCAACCAATGTTTTAAGAAATTTTATGAATCACTCTCCCCAAAAATATCCTAAATGCATGAAACCATGCCTAGCTATTAGGTTCCAAAGGAAGGCCCGTAGATGATAAAGCTTGAATGAAATATTCGCTTCTCTCTCTCTCTCTCTCTCTCTCTCTCTCTCTCTCTCTCTCTCTCTCTCTCTCTCTCTCTCTTCAAAGCTTCATTCATAATCTTCTTTACAAGTTAGCCAGCATGATAGTTTAATAGTAGAAGGCCTTCCGTGTAAATCCTAACTTTCCCCCACTGGCCAAAAATCTCTCTTCCTATATATTTATATGATGAGACTCAATAATTTGTAACCTCCTTTTTCTTCCTTCGCTTCTTCACTTTCCACATAAATCCACACATCTGTTATTTCAAAGTGTAACCATCTCTTTGAGCGAAGAACAAAATTAAGATTTTTGTTATAGAAGAGATTGAAGCATGCAGAATCAGAATAATAGAAAAGAAGGCGGAGAGATGGATGGTGCAGAAGCTGAGGAGGAGAAATTGCCTCCTGGGTTTAGATTTCATCCCACCGATGAAGAGCTAATCACTTATTATCTTACTCATAAGATCACCAAGGCCAATTTCACAGCAAGAGCAATTGCAGAAGTTGATCTCAACAAGTGTGAGCCTTGGGATCTCCCAGGTAGAAAAAATAATATTTTCTTAGTTCATACTTGGCCAAAACTTGAATCTGCTATTTCTCTTGGGAAAGGATAGTCCAGCTGATTGTAGCTCGTTTTTCTCCCATATGAAGTTTTTTTTTTTTTTTTCAGGGTTATGGGAGTATGTTATATTTAAATATGATATAGTTCTAGTTGTTTAAACATTGAAGGGTTTTCAAAATTTTGTTATTTTAAGGAGAAATATGTTGCTTGCTAGAACTAATGGTGATTAATTTGATTGAATTCATCTGTATCAACATATATTCTAGGAAATTTATTATTGATTACCAATATGAGAATTGGAATGATGATTAACTTGTGTTTTGAGACTAGAAAATTTCAGAAACTTCATGTATAGATTGAGTTAGGGTTTAAACATTAGGAAGCATCCTATGTATTTTTATTTATTGCTGCATGTTCAATTATTTAAGCAAAATAAGAAATTTAATTTCTACTATTATATCATCAAAGAAATTATATGTTCTTAATCAATCTGATTTCTTCTAAAAAGATTTTCTTGCTGACAATTCTTGCTAACTTTGTTCAACATATGATCTTCTTGTTTTAAACAGATTTCAACTAGGAAGTGTTCTGCGCTTTAAATGCGTGTTATAAGAGGTTAATCATAAAAAAACACTCAATAATTTGGATGATCAACAAAAACCCTCAATAGCAAAATTACATGCATAACCTCAGATCAGGGGCGGAGCTAGAGCCTAATTTCTTTTAATGTTGGATAAAATAAGATTGTGAAACGTATAATTTTATGCATGGAATAAAAATATAATTTTTTTTTCTAGAATTTGTGCAATTGCATTTATTGAAGGTGAACAAAATTATAAAAATGCTTATTTTTCTAAAAAAAAAATTGATTTAAGGCCTGAGCCCTTCCTAGCTCCATCCCTTCACAGCTGCACTCAGATTTCCACATATATATGCATTAGCTCCCTAAGAAGGTGAACCTCTAATAAATTTATTTTGTAGATTTATTTGAACAGTGTAGCAATACTCTTTCTTTTGCAAGTAAGCACCTACTTAAATTTTTAAATATTTTTACCTACAGTTCTTATTAAAAAAAAAAACAAATTATAAAAACTCCTGCATTTTAACTACAAATTTCTTGCTTGTAAATATATGCCTTGCTTATGAAGAAACTAATGATGCTAGAAAACTAATACAAAGTGTAAGCTAAATTTTCTGGATCTACATTCATTTCATCATTTATCGTGTGTTAATTTTGAATCTTCTGTATGTATATATAAATATAAAAGGTAGTTAGTTGCTAGTTTTCTTTCTTAGTTAGGTGAGATTATTTTGTGCGGTGTCTGAATGCGTCGGAGGTCAATCCGGATACGTCATGTCATCAAATACACTGTGTATTGGGTGACGTGACTCGTCCGAAGTCCGATGTGTCCGGACACCACACGTAACATATAATTTTTCCTTAGTTAGCTACCAAAACACTTTATCCTACATTTTTAGTAAAATATCATAATTATGAGCAATAGATGATAAGAAGAAAAGCTTCTAGTCATCTGCTGTGCATTAATTGTGTGCACCACAATAAACTTTATGTACATACAAACCTTTACTCAAATGTTGCTTAAGTCAACATCAAAAGGAAAAATATTGTATCATGAGCTCCAGATGCAAACAAGCACAATGAATACAAGAAATGCCTAAAAAAGGTAGAGATTTTATCAAAAATATAATATATAAACCACCAAATTCATTAATAAATTATGATATGCATTTAATTCAAATAAATATATCCATCTTTTTAATTTCTAGCAGATATACTACCTGATAGAACTACTGAAGCTTTAGCTCCACGTTATCCATGCATGTATACCTTCTTGTACTCCACCATTTTCCAAAATTGGGAGACAAGAAAATCACAATTATATTGTTTTGCTCACAATTATAGGAAAAGCAAAGATGGGGGAGAAAGAATGGTATTTCTTCAGCTTAAGGGACAGAAAGTATCCCACAGGAATGAGGACAAACCGTGCAACAAATTCGGGATACTGGAAAACAACAGGGAAGGATAAGGAGATATACGACAGTAGAAGCTCTGAGCTTGCAGGTATGAAGAAGACACTTGTGTTTTATAAGGGAAGGGCTCCAAGAGGAGAGAAGACCAATTGGGTAATGCATGAGTACCGCCTGCAGCCAAAGTCCAGTTTCAAAGGAAACCTTATGGTATGACTCTCACGTCTGCATGCATCCATATGTCTTAACTTCCCCTTAAAGGGGGATATTTATATCATTACAAGATTCATATAAACCTAATAATTATCTATTAGAGATGGTAAACACTAAAGCAAAACAGGAGAATACCTGCAACAAGAACCGATTGAAAAAATTTGCCAAAATTTTTACCAAAATTATCGGTAAAAGGCATCAGAAAATTTATGGGGGTCACTTCCAATATAATTTTCAAAAAAAATTACCTGGCAGAATTTTCCACCATTTTTGGTGACATTCCACCAGTTCAAGTGACAAAATTTTCACGAAGTACATCACTTCCTCTTCCTCATACAAGCTTTATTTTGAATTTTCATTTTAGAGTTTATTTTTTTTTTCTGTCTAGAATGTGAGATTTAAATTCTTTTAGATTAGATCTATATATTTGTTATAGATCAACATTTTACCTTGTAGATCTATTGTGCTTTGTTTAGATCTATATAATATTTATGCATATATATATTTTATGTTATTTATTTATTTATTTATGCCTATATATTTTTTGAATGTATATTAGCTTTAGCTTAGTCGAATACATTTAGATTTTGTTTTTTTTTTTTTTAAATTTAAAAAGTTTGTTAGATTTAAATTTTTTTAATTTTTTACTATGATAGACTTAGAATGATTAAATTTAATTAGATATTATTCAAGTTATTTATAATTTTTAGATTTAGAATAATTTTTTAAAGAGGGATTTCACTTATTTTCTAGTGGATTTTGTAGCAATAGGTGGTTTGTTTTCATGTAGTGAACTTATAAACTCACACAACTCCCAAATGGCTCACAAAACTGCCCCTTTATATTTATTCATGTAAATGCATCTGCCCTTACAGAAACCTTTCCCTTAAGATCGTTCAAATATGAATAAAAAAAATGATAAACTGGCAAAATCTGAGTTATTGGATGGCTGAGAAGTAGGTCTAGTGCGGAGTGGCAGATGTGGATGAATTTCGATGGAAGCAGGCAGATCTGGGCTTGGAAACAAAGCAAATGACAATGAAAGACGAAGTTGGGTTTAGTGTGGACCTGGTACGAGCGATGTGAACTCTGGAAAATGAAATTTTGGTATTATCGGCGGCTAAATGACTGCCGGTACTGGCCGCCAGTAATACCTGAATTTTCAGTAGTGAAAGAGGATGTTTAGGACTTGCAAAGTGCGATCAAGGTTTCGGATCTAAGGTAGAGGTCAATGGTTGTGTGTGACCTGTTCTAGGATAATGTGTGATAAGTTAGCATGATATAATTTCATGTATGATTGGGGATGATCATGTTGATATGGATATAGATGTCACTCGGATGGCAATGACCCTCACTGACAGCACTATTTCTTACACTCAAAATGGAAAACTATTAGAAAAAATAGAAAAATACAATATATGAAATAACTATTCGAGGATATACCTAAAACTCAACTGATATTAATTCAATTAGGGTTGCAAACAAATAGAGCTGAGCCGAGTATGTGCGTGTTCATGTTTAAGTTCGTTTATTATCAACTTATTCAAGTTCAGTTCGAGTTAGATTCGAGCTTTTTTGTTTTTATTCAAGTTTGATTTGTTTAAATTAATGGGTGTTCATATTTGGTTCATGTTTAGCTCATGTTCAGTGCTTTTCATGTTTATCGAGCTATAAACGAGCTCTACTTCTAGATGTACATTAACCTAACAAATGAGCCTTATCGTGTCTTCTAACAAACAATTATATCAAGCATGTTTTTGAACATATCTCGTGAAATTTTTTAAACTATAAAACAAGTTCATCATGCATTCAAGAAGACATCTAATGAGTATTTTTTAGTTATCAGATGAGCTAGTTCATGAACATATCTAATTAGTGTTTTTGAGTTACCAAAAATGATCTATGATTCATTTTATATTTGATTGGAGAGCTGGTTGTTCACAAATTTTAAGATCGAATGGGGAAGTAAAAATAAATTATTAAACAATTTTAGATAGGATTAGTAAAACAATTATTAAATTTCATAATATTTAATTTTTAAAACTCTAATCTAATTCTAATTGAGCTCCTTAGTTAAGCTATAATCGAGCTTCTTAATTTGCTTGTTCACAAGCATTAAACGATACAATTCGTGAACATAATGAAGCCGAACAACAACTTGTTCAAGTCCGTTTATTTAGCTATAAAATATTTATCAAAAGTATTCAAACTCGTTCATTTATCTTATCAAGTGAATATGAACGAGCTTTTATCGAGCCGAGCCATGAGTAGCTCATCAAATATTCGGTTCATTTGTAGCCCTACATTTAATTGATGAAAAATGGCATAATTTGAGGATGCTTGTAACTTCGAGTTGTCATTGGGCAAGAAAAGAGAGTAGTCAAAGTTGTTAGTCTGTCCGGAATTTGATAGTGTTTTTTTTTTTCAATCTGATAGTGTTGATCAATCAGATTGTATTGTTGTCTCGGACCACAAGTCAATTTTTCGTTCTCGCTGGAGGGTGCGGGGGCTCCTCCTACTTGAAATTTTTTTTTCATGCAATGACTAGCATTATATATGTATCAACGCTCCCCAATGTTGTATACCTGAGCGCCCTAACACTGTGTGCCAAGCACCCTAGTGCTACAAAAATTTGCTAGTAGAAAAGATAATGAGTGGAGCACCGCTGTGCTCTAAATTCAACGCCGCAACGCTCTAAAATAGCACAACAATGCTTCGGGGTAGACTTGACAGTTTTTATTTCTTGTTTTCTTGAGGGTGGCATGTATCCATTGGTGGCATATAGAGGCTTTTTTTCTTTTGTTTAGTAAGGAAAAATGGAATAAGTGAGAACAAGAGCAAGAAGCGAGTGAAAGAGAAAAGAGATATATACCTATTTCTTTCAATTTTTATGGTGGATTTCTTGGTGTGTTGTAGCTCCGTAGTTTTTTTCCGATTTTGAGTTTTTCTACATCCCTAAAAAAAGTTCTATCATTCATGGATCTTGCATATTCTAGTTTCCTCTAAGAAGGGATATTTATATAATTAAAAGACCCCCAAAAACCTAATGATAACCAAATAAAGCTCATAATCTACAAACTAACATCACCCACAAATGACACACAAAACTAGCAGTTTATATTTTTATGTATTCTTCTTTTTCAAGGACATGTAAAAAGCTAAATTTATCTCCTTCAATTTAAATTCAACTAGGAATGCAAGACACATCTTTTTTCCTAAGTTGCAAGATATTTTTCTATTTTGCAATATAACAACCGGGACAGCTATTCATGCACAACAGAAAAGAGCATTGTTGTAATTTAGGCAGCTTTCTTAGCGCTTAATGAAGCCATTTTTTAATACAATTTTTTTTTAATTTTACATTTTTATACAAAAAAATAATTTTACCCAAATGAAGCCTTAGTTAGAATAGTGTTGCAAAACTAAATTCATCTCGATATATCTTAAACGAAACTTCTGAAGAAAAAAAAAAATTATTGTGTGGACCTTCTCGGTGAACTTTCACGTAGGATACTCACAGCTAACAACGATTAATTTCAAGAAGGTGAACCCTTGCATCAATTTTTTTTGCACAATTTACACATCATAGTTTATAGGCCTCTACATATATAGCAAAAGTCCCACAAAAATAATCTACAAAAAATTCCATTTTCATGAAGCATTTCAGCACTATTGCATGATATATATTTGTATTCATAAATCATCATCGTTGATAAAACCAAGTTACCAGCAACAAATTTTGACATCTTTACGAAAAATATTTGATAATCACAAACACAACATACAGATTACTTCTTTATAAAACTCCTTACACTCATGCAATCAAATCTTAGCAATACTTGAGCTTTTCCAGGTCGACGAATGGGTCGTCTGTCGTGTCATCTTGAAGAGCAACTCCAGCAGCAAAAAATGCTCATCCACAAGCCAATCCCACAGGCTCATCAGCCCATGCAGCCTCAACATTATTGGACCTCCCATACTTCCAACCTTCTTCGGCAGCCACAATCTGGCAGAACTACTACGCTATCCAACCGGAAGACCCCCTTCTTCCCTCAACTTTCAAACAATCAACACCCAATTTGATCACAGCACCGCGAGCTTTCCGCAGCCACCGTCGTCGCTCGGCCGCCTGAACCTCAACCTTGGAGGACAGCAGCTCTTGAGGGCCATGAACACACCATTGAACACAACAGAAGGGGTGTTGTTGCCACAACCATTTATGGGTAACATTGCAGAATGTGAATCTGGGTATGGTAGTGGCAGCAACATAGTTGGTGCAGCCAGTAGGATTCAGAATTTGGAGGAGTCGTGCATGGATCTGGATGGTTATTGGCCTACTTATTGAAATAGGGAGATGATATTAATCAGAAAGTGTTATAAATATGTATGCTTTCTGTGCTAAGTTTGTATGACAATAATATTTAAAGACAATATACTATAGCTTGGATATATTGTGAATGTGCAATTTCTTTTTTTTTTTTTTGGAAATTTTTTTGATATATTCTATATTATGATATGATTAACTTTACTATATTTGCTCTTAATTTTATAGACGAGTAGATAGAATTTTTACTTGATGATTAAACTTTTAAAATAGAGGGGTATTTATAAATATGAAAATGTATAAATACAATATCATCTACACCAAAATTCTTCAAATGCATTACTTAAAATTTAAAATTTTTAGAATTTTTTTTTAAACCCCGCCCTCATCAACTTGTTTTTCGATACAAAGAATATTTTTTATCATCAAGCAAATAATAACTTATATTTTCAATCAAAATATCGGGATCAATGGCTCAAATTCATCAAGAGATCAAGGTATTGAAATTTATCATGAAAAAAATAATCTTATAAATCCATGATGGGCTTTGATATGGAAAGAAAAAAAAAATAATAATAACTTGTATTTTCTATTAAAGCTTGAATTTCAAAATTTTCGCCCCAAATTTGATTTTTTCAAGATTTACATAATGGTATTTTTTTTATTCTAATTAGAAATAGGTTTGTTTAGGAAGTCATGTGGTGAACCATTCCATGCTAGGACAGAAATACTGAGTTATTATACTCTAGTTACTATTTTGCACGGATATTTCAATAATTTCATTTTTCTTAGATTTTTTTTTTAAGTTTGAATTTTAGATAATGATTTAATGCTTTAACTATTTATTAGAATAGATCAAAAAGAATTTTTTTGTTGATTTTCTAACTTTGGTGCTGGGTGGTTGTACCCTCTGGCTTCCCCTTAATGAGAGAACTAAGTGTTTTCTTATCTTTTTTTTAGCTGAAATAATCTCACATTCACTCACACCTTATATTCTTCTAGAATCATACAACCATCTGACTCAACTATTCAGCCATTATTGCCACCACACCAAAGGGAGATCCTAATAGGGAGCAATCGCTAGAGGAAGGGTTCATAGTCAGCTAGTTTTGGTCCTCTCCACTCCATCACCTTCTAAACCTATTGGATCTAAGTCATCTAATACAAATCTAATATACACAAATCCATTGAACATTACGATGTCATTAGAGGCCCGCCATATGTCCTTAGCTTAAACATTTTTTTTGCATGTAGTTTTAATTTATCTCAAATTACACACCCTTAAACATTTTTTTTTTGTTTTCACCGAGTACTCAAAAACATATCTCCTAACATTATTTAACTCTTCCAAGTGATTCCATGGCTTAAATTCTTCTCCTTGTAATAATCTTAATGTGAAAACCAAAAAGGGAGTTGTAGGTCTTAGCCAACCAACAAGTCTTGACTAATACCTTCCCTTGGCCCTCTACCTCAAGACACTTTCCCAAAATATTCTAAGGAGTGTCCCTACGTCTAAGGTACCCTTCTACATAGCAAGTGAAATCCTTGGATAATCCATTCCCAAGGCTACTTCAACTCTGGTTTTAGAGCTCAAGCTTAAAATTTAATAAATTAAAGATAAGGTGTACATCAAGCTATCATAATTGAATTTTATCAATTGACACCATAAAAGGGAAAATATTATATATTTTCTCCATTGTATAATGTCTAGCTTCCAAAATTTATGTTCTTTAGTTGAACTAGATGTGTTTGATTATCATATGATCTATTGGAAAAGTTATGTTTTAATTATTGATGTCTAATTACCTACCCTCAATATTTCCTTAATTACCATTCACCTTAAGCTACTCCTAACCCATATTTTCTTTTAGTGTTATATTTTACAGAGGGTGCGATCCATTTAGCAAATTATTAATTTACCTTTGAATATTGAAATAACGTTATGGCATTGAGATATAGTATCAAAAACAAATTAACGAACTTATCTATATTAGTATTTTCATCAAATTTGAAACACATATATGGATCATTAAGATTAATTAAAATGATGAAAATATTAAAAAATTAAGAGAGCTTGTCTTTATCTAAAATCCAATATTCTTTTACACCAAGAGAATGAAAGTTGAAGGAGATTGTGAGATCTCAAAAAACAAGCCTGAGGCTAACTAAGAGGGAGTGTGAATTAATTGTTAATTTAAAATTTTCTTTAACGAAAAAAAAAATATATTTTTATATCATTTTCAATATCTGAAAAATAGACAATTTAATCCCCTAATTTGAAAGCAGATTAATTTCATAATAACAAAAAATTAGAGTTTGTCAACTACATAGTAAATTACAGAAAAATAAAAAGTATGAATAATAAGAACAAAACTCACAAAAATTTATAGTGGTTCGGTCCAACCTGGCCAAAGTCCACTCCCTGAAAACCTTCTTTATAGTTATTGCACTAATAGTAGTGTCTCTCCTTTTGTCCTCACAGCAAGGCAGAGTTTCCCTTACAAAATATCTTCCACCAACCCGGTACGACAGAGGACCTTACTCTTTTTTATCCTCTTGGTGATGATAGAGAACCTGAAATGCTTTTTCTCCCTCCTCGAGATGGCAGAGAATAAAGAATTTTTTTTTTTACTCTTGTAGAAGGTAGAGAACCTAGGACTAGTGTTGTAGAAAGTCTTCTCGGAGCCACCAAAGTATCAAGGAAAAAGTTTGAAGAAGACAAAGAAGAACCTTGCTTGGAGTAATATTATGAATCCCTCATAAATCTCTCTCACAAACAACTCTCCCTCTCTTCTCTTTCAAAGCACTCCTTAACTCCCTCTCTATACTTCCTCTCAAGACATTTAGCAGCAAAAAGTCTTTTTAAAACAGGGCTATTTGAGAGCTTAAATAGAGAGCATGTTTAAAAGCTCTCAATTTTAATCTGTAGACTTTGATCATCCTGTATGATCCAAGATCATTCTGTACAATTAGTTCAAAATACTTGTATTAGTACTATGCGAGGAGACAACCCTGTACAATTAGTTCAAATAAGATGAATTGATCGTCTAAGATGATTGAGAACAACGTCCAGTATGATTAGAGCAAAACAGCCTTTTTAGACAGTACAAAATGTATTGTCCTGTACGATCAGTTCAAGAGATGTACTAATCATTCAATACGATAGGCGACGATGTAATTATCATCCCATGTAGAGCTCGGTTCACACAATATAAAATTGGGAGTTTGACCTAAATGATTAGTTGAAAAACTACAGCATTTCATCTTGGACAATAGGCGATGATGTAATTATAATCCCATGCATCGCTTGGATCGTACAATACGATCTTCATCAATTGTCCTCAACGATTTGATTGAACAAATTAACCATAATTTCTCCCCTAATCACATGATCAATTTAGACATGATTGTCATATATCATACAATACGATGCATATCGTACAATATGATGCATATCGTACGATACGATTAGGCATAAATTTTGAATATTAAAATATAACCTAAATTGTGATTGACGACTATTTAAGTGATTATAATTGATCGTTATGTACGATAGGGATCGTACGCACATTACAATAAGTTTAAAATATTACCTAAAATTTCAAATGCATTACTCAAAATTTAATTTTTTTTTTTTTTGAAAATATGTTTTTCAACCCTGCACTCATCAACTTATTTTTCGATACAAAGAATATTTTTTATTCAAGTATAATCTTTATGATTGATTGGATTTTAAAAAAATATCAACAACTTGATTATGCATGTGACCCCACAAATTCTATGATGTATAACAACAAATTATTTATAAATGTTCATTAAAATATCGAGAACAATGGCTCAAATTCTTCAAGAGATCAAGGTCTTCAAATTTATCACCAAGCAAATAATCTTATAAATTCATGATGGGCTTTGATATGGAAAGAATAATAATAATAACTTGTATTTTCTATTCAGCCATTATTGATACCACACTAAAGGGGGATCCTAATAGGAAGCAATCGCTCGACGAAGGCTTTATAGTCAGCTAGTTTTGGACCTCTCCATTCCATCACCTTCTAAACCTATTGGATCTAAATCATCTACTCCATATCTAATATGCTCAAACCCATTGAACATTACCATGTCATTATAGGCCCACCATATGTCCTTAGCCTCATTACTTAAGTCTATAAAATCAAAACTAGGCCAATCAAACCAACTAGATTTTCTTACATTTAGTTTTGTTTTATCTCAACTTACATGCCTTAAACATTTTTGTTTTCAGCAACTACTCAAAAACATATCTCCTAACATTATTTAACTCTTCCAAGTGATTCCATGGCTTGAATTCTTCTCCTTGAAATAACTGTAATGTGAGAACTAAAAAGGGAGTTGTAGGTCTTAGCCACCCAACAAGTCTTGAATGATACCATCCCTTGGCCCTCTACTTCAAGACACTTTCCCAAAATATTGTAAACGATGTCCCTACTTCTAAGGTACCCTCCTACATAGAAAATGAAATTCTTGGATCATCCATTCCCAAGGCTACTTCAATTCTGGTATTCGAGCTCAAGCTTAAAATTTAATAAATTAAAAATAAGGTGTGTACATTAAAGCTACCATAATTGAATTTCATGATCAATTGACACCCTAGAAGTGAAAATACTTTTTTTCCATTATATAATGTCTACCTTCCTAAATTTATGTTCTTTAGTTGAACTAGATGTGTTGGATTATCATATATGATCTATTGGAAAAGTTATGATTTAAGTATTGACATCTAATTACCTACCCCCTCAATATTGCCTTAACCTTTCAGCTTAAGCAACTCCTAACTCATATTTTTCTTTTAGTGTTACATATTACACAGGGGGCAATCTATTTAACAAATTATTAACTTACCTTCGAATGTTGTGTAACAGCAGTTTTGCACATATCGTCCAGGCCGATCGTGGATCGTCCCGGGACGATTAGTTCAAATTTTGTTCCAGATTCTATACAGAAGTTACAGGAAAATTTTCGTGTAGGTATCGTCCGGGCCGATCTGGGATCATCCCGGGATGATCAGAGCATGGCACAAGACAGAGAGCAAGGGGTTTTTGAAAA